AAGCCCTGAATTCAGACAGTGAACCAGGAGTTTCTATACAAACCCAAGCCCTGAATTCAGACAGTGAACCAGGAGTTTCTATACAAACCCAAAGAATCAGTGCACACTGCTGTCCCACCATCCTCCATGACCAAGGGAGAATCTAAGGCCAGTTTTAATTTGTTCACTCCTGAAATACTCCAGGTTACCCTGGGAGTACAAAGCTTCTAGCAGCAAGGAAAGGGAGATGCTGCTGGAAATGTACAAGGCCAGGCTGGAACAAGCTGCTCTATGGAAGGTGTCCCTGCCAAGGCAGGGGTGCAATGGGAAGGGCTTTAGGTCCCTCCCACCCCAAACCATTCCCTGATTCCTGACTCCTGCTGCTGCCCAGGAATTCTCTCCCACAGGGAAGCTCCCCGCTTTCCCTGGGCACTGACCTCAGCAGCAGCCTGCAGATCCGTGTTCCTGCAGCCAGAGCCCGCTGGGGGCATGGATGTGCTCCTGCCTGGCTGCTCTGGGGCTGGATCCAACATCCCAGACACGGAAGCTCCGAGGCCCAGCAGCCTCTCAGTGTCCTGCCCGCCAGCCCGAGGAGCTGTGGCTTCCCCAGCCCCGCTCCTGGGCTGTGCAGAGGGGGCTGAGGGCAGAGCCTTGGGGAGCTGCCCTGCTTCCAGGGGCCTCTCCCTGCTGGCTCCCGTCTCCTCCTCGCTGGAGTCACTCAGGACAATGATTCTGGAAGGTTTCTTCTGCCCTGGGGCCCGCCGGGCCTGGCTCAGCCTCCTCCTGCGGCGGGTCAGGTACCGCTGCCTGCTGCTGCTGCCCTCCCTGGTGAGCAGAGCAAAATCCACACACTCTTCCTCCTCACTGCAGCCACTGGGAGCCTCCTCCTCCTCATCCCCCACGCAGAAACTGTCCTCAGCATAGGTCACGTCCTGCTCGGGGATCTGGGGAAACAGAGCCAGGAAAGCTGCAGTGGTTCTGCTGCTCCTCAGCAGGAGGGCCCTTGGCTTATCCAGCCCTCCCCACACAAATACTGGGGCTGAGGGGCTTCAATCACATCCCACCCCACCCCTGCCATGGCAGGGACACCTCCCACTGTCCCAGGGTGCCCCAATGTCCAGCCTGGCCTTGGGCACTGCCAGGGATCCAGGGGCAGCCACAGCTGCTCTGGCAATTCCAGCCCAGCCAGGAATTCCCAATT